AAATTCAAATTTTGCAAAAATCACATAGAACATGTTTATTTAAAATTAGTACACGACCCGACAACGAAGCGCAGTTTGAGTGGTAAGACGTTTCACTTATGACCAATAAGTAATGAGTTCGAGTAACTGAGTAGGAGAACTGAGAACACTATTGATCCTCCTTAAGAGGAAAAAAAAAGAAAAAAATGTAAAATTAGTACACAACCCCTACGGTGCATATGTAATTGATAATAAAATACAATATATTAATTTCAAATTAAGTATTATTTTAATTTTTTATTCAGAAATTCGGTTTAACTATAATTTGATTCCATAAAATAATTATTTTGATAAAATTTTATCATATATTTAAAATTTATATTAATATGTATAATAAATATAATTCACATTAGCTAACAAAATTGAATCTTTTACCATAAAACATAACTACAGATTTTTAATTACCCACGTGAGAGACGGACGAAATCTGGAAAAATACAACCGGGAGGCATGAAATCACACCATAGCTATAAAATTGAATCTTTTAAAATAAGTCGTAACTAATCCCACAAATTAAAAGAAACATTTAATGTTTTTCTATTTTACTAAATAAAAAAATTCAAAAACTTACCCAAATTGGTAAGTATTTAATGCTAACAGAATTTGACCTGCATTTGACCTGCCATTTTAGAAAAAAAAAAGTTATTCTTTTTATATATAGATAGATTTTAGGTCACCTTTCTCTTTTTCTCATCATTTTTTATTTCTTTTTATTTTTTTTTCATGTGGATTTTTTTTTTGGTTAATTTTTAAAGAAGGGAACGGTAGTATTCCCACTTCTCCTTTTCGGTATCCCAGATCCATGATCTTTCAGTTATAGGTGAAACGTCTTATCACTAAGTTACGATTCATTGTCTTTTTCTTTTCGGGAAAATTCAAAACTAGTCCCACAGGTATAGGGGAGTGACAATTTTGGTCCCAATGGAATGCAAAAAATATAAATAGTCTCACAACTTTTAAAAAATGATCAAAAGTAGGACTTTTTACCAGATTTTATTGTTTCCGGCCCGGAATGCTACATTAATGTTAAGTTTAAAATATATAGTACATGCTACATTAATGTTAAGTTTATAATATATAGTATATGCTACATTATTTTCAAATTAATGTTAAGTTTATAATATTTGTCAATTATTTTTTTAACTTTACCATCATTTATTAAGGAATCAAAATATTATATTATATTATAATGAGGTATAACCGTATAAGTAAGAGAAGAGATAGACATAGGAGTATTATTGTGAGTATTATTTATTATTAATGTTAGAATGTGTTAATTTTTATGCTTTTATTGAAATTTTTTTTATTTTTTTATCACGAGTGAAATAAATATATAAATCGTATATTTAACTATTATATATTATATATAAAAAATAAAAAATAAAAATTAATATTAGTATTTAAACATATTTTTATATTAATTAATATTCTTTAATTATTTTAATTTATACAATTTATTATCTTTGTATCGTGTATTACAAGCAATAAGTAGTAGTTGTATAAATACTTCGTTGAAAAGTGATGAAAATTCCTGCATAAGAAGAACGACAATCTATATCTATCTATCTATCTATCTATCTATCTATCTATATCTATACTACTTTAAAAGGAGAAGTGTTTTTGTAAAAATTCATAATGCCTAAAAAATTCTTACTTTGACATAAATATAAGGCAAATTAGTAATACATTAATACACATCATATTTTATTTATATTTTTAATTAAAAAACGAACTACCTAAAAAACTCTTACTTTCACATGTTTTTAATGGCAAATTGGTAATATACTAATACCATCATATCTTATATTCTCCCTATATATAATTAAAGAAAAAAACATAACTTTTCTCAATTCAATATAAGCAAATCAATGAAAATAATATATTTTAAAAATTTTATGAACAAAAGTTGACTCGACAATATTATTAATGAATATATGAATTGTAAATATTTAATTAAAATATTAACTAAAAATTCTAATTTTATATAATATAATATAGAATATACAAACATTTGATATATAAGATCTTATATTATTAATTAATAACTAATATCAATTAATTAAATGCAAATACATGAACAACTCATTCCACACTCCTAAAATAAAATTGTTTTCTTCCACATATCTTTAAAACTGTTTGATATAGACACATTATTTTCAAAATAACCTATAAAAAATGTGTGATAGTATGCGAAATTAATTGTTGAAAACACTTGTAAAACTAGAAATCGATATTGTTTTTCTCATAACAACCACAAGATATTGAAACATTATTTTTAAAATAACCTATAAAAAATGTGTGATAGTATGCGAGATTAATTGTTGAATGATTGTTCTGCAACATAAACTTCTAATCTATTAAATTTCTTTACTACATAAGATCAGAACAATTTTATGAAATTGTATAATATTAAAACTGTATCAATTTGTTTTCACGTCTAATGAGATACCACTTTAGCAATATGGATTAATTTTGACCATATAATTATCTACAAACTAATTAAAAAATCTCGAGAACCATGATATGCTACATGTTGAAAATTAATTACTTTTTTATCAAAAAAGTATATTCATATATTATCATTAGTCATTTATTTATTTATATGTGTTATTACAATGCAATGGTTTTTAAAAAAAATGTACGAAATAAAAAAATTATATATTTGAGTATATATGAGAAGATTATAATTATATATAAAATAATATAAAAATATAAAATTAATTGATATAAATATGACATATGACCTAAAAAGTGCTATACTTAATTTTATATATTTTTGAACAAACCAAAAAGTTACCCACAAACACACACGCACATTAAAAACATATGAAAGAACAATATAAAGTAAAAAATATTAAATCTGATAAATAATATTAATTTTATAATAAAGTTGTAACACTTACTAATAACTATGAAAAAAAGCAATAAATAAAAATATTATAATTAGTAAAAGTAATTATAGAACTTTTAAAATTTGTTTAATTTTTTGCGCTTATTAGTTCTGTATATAAATTTTAGATGATGAAATCAGTTATTTATACCTTTATCCATGAAGGTTAGAAATTTATTTTTCTTAGAAAATTAATTATTTTGATTTTAAATAACATTTTATTTGCTATTAGTTTTTTAATATAATATATTAATGGCATATTTTATATATATACAACAATACTTTTCGTTATGTAATATGTAAGTGCAAGAAATGTAATTCAGTAGATAAATTAATAGGTAATTTTGCGATAAAATAATGAGCAATTTCTACAAAAATTATATGGATTACCAAGTTCACTTGTTTAATATATTTTTAATATAAAAATTATAAATACAATTCATTAATAACCAAAACTCCTAATAAAATTATAATATATAAAGGAATAAAAAAATAGTACATTGCAATGAAAAATCCAACGGTAAGACATTAACTTTTTTTTCCAAAGACATTACGGTAAGACATTAACTGAAATTTCTAAATGATATTTTATTTGTATATTTGTATATAATGAGGCAGATGATCAAAAAAATTCTATACTTTATATTATGTCTTTTTTGACAAATTTACAGTTAATAACACGTGAAAGAACAAGATAAAGTTTTAAGAAAAATATTAAATATAAGAAATAATATGAATAATAACTAAGTTGTGACACGTACTAATAAATATAAAATAAACTAATAAACAAGAATAATATAATTAATATATCTAAATATAAACCTTCTAAAAATATACTTATCGATGTAATCGAACTGAGTTGTTAAACTCTTGTTAGTTTTTTGTTCTTGTTAATTTTATGTGTAAATTTGAGGTGATAGACAATAGTTATTTGTACATTTATACATGTAGATT